GCCATGGTGTCGTTCTTAGGGAAGAAGATGCCCTGATTCAGAGATCACAAACCCCGGGGCAGCGTGCTGGGAGCAGCTCACTGGCCCACAGTCTTAGACAGCACTGGCTCTCTGTCAGTCCCCACTGCATCCTGCGCCTTCACTCAGTGACCTCCCTCACTGAGACACTCTCACTAGCAACTAGAGCTATTTCTATGAAACTGCAAGTTCACCGTCAGTCTGGGTGTAGATTTTTCCGTTTTCCTCCCTCAAAGTTCAGAACTTCGAGGAAACTTTGAGGACCTTCATTTATACTCTCTCATCCCATGCCCAGGAAAATCTCCACCAGAGAGAAAGCTCAGATGGACCCAGGCTACCCCAAGGCTGCTCTGGAACTCCTGATCCTCCTGCCTCTGCCTCCTGAGGGCTGGACCCACAGGCATGCGCCCCCCACCCCACTCCACACACACACCTGCCTGGTTTATTTCATCAGAGGGCTGATGTCTACTGTGCAGAAATTTGACTTCCAAACGATCAAAGAAAACCCGTCCATGCGCGTTTGAGGGCTCCATCCCTTGAAACATTCCTTTCTCTGTGCCCCTCAACTCCCATACCCATGCTCTTCATCACTAGCCGTTCGTTCTATTTCTTCACATTTGTTCAGCCTTTTCTTAAATAACCACCTTCTGTTTCTGACACCGGTTCACCCTTGTATGCAGCTTGGAGAAGGACAAAGGGGGGTCCCTCCCCTTGTGTGCTCGGATTTTCCCCCTTACAAGTCACATGCACAGGCCTCATGCCCAACCTAACGACTTTAGAAGAATTCTAAATTTGCAGTTTGCAATGAGGATTGAAGTTGACCCTGCTCATCCTGGCCTTGGAGCAGTAGCAGCATCGGGCCAGCAGATGGCGCAGTGTATACAGGCGCCAAAGACTTGCAGTTCCGAACTCTTTAAAATTCTGAGGTTGCTTATTATGTAAACATCTTTTAAAATATGTGTACAGAAACCGCTTTTAAAATATGTACAGAAACCGCCAGATTTATTTACAACTAATCAGTATTTTTGCAATTATACAGGTGAAGTGCTTTTTTTCTTTGTAGAACATTCATAAGATACAGATAAGATGAATCTTTTTCCTATCTCTGTCTCCTTCACAGGGAAATGTTGATCTTCCCAGATTTTTTTTCTGTGCACTAAAAATACTGATGCACCTAGAAATATAATTTTTTTTTCATGGACAAGATCACACTTTATTTTGCAACTTTTCTTTGACATTTTAGACATTGTGCATCCCACATTATTTGTTGTTTCTTTTAAAAGGATAGCTTGCCTAGGATTCCAGGGAGTAATGTCGCTCAACTTATGTAACTGTATTCCTATTGAGCTGTGGTTGCTTTCGGTTTTATGATGATAATGACTTTTCTCTCATACAGCTGCTTCCCTTAAAGATTCGTGACACTTTCAATTGTTCCGAACGATTTAAAAAATAAAAATAAAGATGAGTCAGACTAGAGGGGATGCCGCGTGACCTGAGCATTTCAGTCAGTCATAATAAGAACACTGTGGTCTGGCTGCTGTCAGCTGTGTGCCCAGAGGAGAATGAGGGTGACGTGGCACCCAGCAACGCCCACTCTGCTCACAGCTGCACCCCGCACAGCAGCGCCTTTGACTCAGAAGTCAAACCCCCGGGAGAAGCACAGCCCAGTGTCTGCTGAGAAGGGAAACTCTTTATTTTTTTGCTGTCGAGTGGGATGGTGTGACTGAGGCAGGCAGCCAGTGAGCTGGGGAGAGGAGCGGAGCCAGCCGGCTGGAGGGATGTTGATTGGCAGCCCAGCCCTCAGCTGCCCACTGGAGACCCAGGCTGGGGGCCGAGCGATGGGTGTTGTTCCTCGAGGGTGATGTGCGCTCTGTTTTCACAGTTGGCCGCCCCATCCCTGTCCGGCAGACTCTGCACCCGACCCCAGAGCAGATGGAGGAGCTGCTTCAGACCTACATGGAGGAGCTGAGGAAACTCTTCGATGAGCACAAAGCGAAGTACGGTATTCCAGAAAACAAAACTCTGGTTTTTAAATGACTCTCCTCCTCCAAGGCATAAAGGAAGACAAGAGAGCACTGAGAAAATAAATATTTTAAATAAGTTCACTGTGGAGGTTTTGTTTTTGTTTGTTTGTTTTTCTGTTTGACTATAGAATCGAATTGTAACTGAAAGATATTAGTCGTGGAGACAGCTGCTGTTATTTTATACTGTGGTAAATAAAAACCCAGTAAACGGAGGGCTGGGGTGGTAGCCCAGTGGTAGCATGCTCACCCAGCATGGGCAAGACCCAGAGTTTGCTCCTTAACACTGGAAAACAAAAATACGGTAGATGATTGCAGGATAGGATTGAAGATGACTAAGAACCTTCTGAATTTAGGGAGACTGGGTTGTTCTTCAGGTTCCTAAGAGGGTTAGAATTACTCATGCACTCAGAGCAAAAGCAAAATACCAACTCCAAAGAGACTCCAGCCTCTGTGCACCACTGTGGCTTGGGGTGGGAGTCTTCACGGAGCCTGGCAGCTGATGCTCAGCACAGCTGAACATTTAGAGACCGTGAAACTTGCCACATAGAAAGCCGAAGAGGCAGGCCTCCACTTAAACACAACATCTGTTATTGACTAATGCCAATTTTTTTTTCCTGGTTTTTTGAGACAGGGTTTCTCTGTGTAGCTCTGCGCCTTTCCTAGAACTTACTCAGTAGCCCAGGCTGGCCTCGAACTCACAGAGATCCTCCTGCCTCTGCCTCCCAAGTGCTGGGATTAAAGGCATGTACCACCACCACCACCACCACCACCACCACCACCACCACCACCGCCCGGCCCTGACTAATGCCAATTTTAATACTAGATGATGTAGATCCTTCAGGTCATATCAATGCTTTTTGGTTTGGGTGGGTGTTTTTTCTTTTTTCTTTTAATCAGCGCAGAATTATGCATTTCTGAGGCAGGATGAGTCTAACACTTAGAATCCCGTATGGACGAGAGCCTATATCATTTCTCTCTGGGTATTTGCAATGGAAAAGCAGGCCTGTATTTGGAAGACGACATTCTCTCTGTTTTAGGACTCATTGGAGGGATGCTGGAGCTATGTGGCACAATAGAAGTACTTGTCACTCTCTTCCCCAGGTGGCCTTTTCACTTAAGACAAGCTCTGAAACTGCCCTCTGCTGCGTACTGTCCAGTTCAGTTGACCAGAGTTGAGTCATCTTTGTTTGCTGCTATCTCCCCGGTGCCTGGCACAGATAGCTTGGGGCAATCAGAGGGTATAGAATAAGTACTGGCCCAGTGGGTGTAACAAATACCGTTGCTATAACGTCAAGATTTTTCCGAAGCTGGTCCATAGTAATGAAACCTGTTATAAGCCAAGACCGACATGAAATAGGATCATTTCCTGTTATCTAATTGGCCCACAGCAATAATCAACAATCCCACACACTGCCGTAAGTAAGCAAGTCAGGTTTCTGCTCTTCAGTCACTCGGTGTGGGGTAAGAATGGCACCCAAAACCACGCCCTTTCCAAACGCCTCCAGCACTGGGTGTTTGTTTCTTTATTTTCTGCACAGTAGCTATGTGGCAATCCATCCAATCACAGTTCGTTCCTATATCTTCAGGCTTCAAGTTCTGCTCTTTATCCCTAAAAAACAATGGAGACTTTTTTTTACCTTCTAATAAGAATGCTAGGCTTCAATATTAACTTCCTGGGGGTTGGGGGGCAGGGTTGGAACTTTTAGCATCTCAGAGAAAGACAAATGGGCTCTGGGCTTCTTACAAGAGAAGGTTTTGTGATTAATTCACTAGAAAAGGGCACATTTGAGTGCCTGGAAGAACCCACTGAAGTCTAAAGAAACTTTACAAGAAGGGAATAGGACTGAACCCAGCCATGGTGTCGTTCTTAGGGAAGAAGATGCCCTGATTCAGAGATCACAAACCCCGGGGCAGCGTGCTGGGAGCAGCTCACTGGCCCACAGTCTTGGACAGCACCGGCTCTCCATCAGTCCCCACTGCATCCTGCACCTTCACTCAGTGACCTCCCTCACTGAGACACTCTCACTAGCAACTAGAGCTATTTCTATGAAACTACAAGTTCACCATCAGTCTGGGTGTAGATTTCAAGCATGAGAACTTGAGCTCTCTGCACCCAGAGAATGCACATAAAAAGCCAGGCACGGTGGTGTGTGCTTGGAATCCCAGCCCTGAGGAGATAAAGACAAGTAGACCCCTGGGGCTGCCAGGCAGCCAAGTGAAAGATCTCAACTCAGAAAACCCGGTGATGGCACCCATAGAAGGGGAGCGGAGATTGTCCTCTGGTCTCCACGTGCATGCTACACACACACACACACACACACACACACACACACACACACACACACGCGTCCCCATGCATGCATCTGTACACGCATGCATTTTGCATGTAAAAAAAAATCATGCCACTCAACAGCAAGAGTAGGAAATATTTCACATAGGAGAACATGATCCTTCCAGTCGTTCTGAATGGGCAGTCTGAGAATCCATTGCCCCAAAGCTTTGGAATCCATTATTTTTGCCAAAGCAGAGCCTTTAAGTTATTACAGCGGGCGGTGGTGGCACAGGCCTTTAATCCTAGCACTTGGGAGGCAGAGCCAGGCAGATCTTTGTGAGTTTGAGGTCAGCCTGGTCTACAGCGCGAGATCCAGGAAAGGTACAAAGCTACACAGAGAAACCCTGTCTCAAACCGCCCCCCCCCCAAAAAAAAAGAAGTTATTACAGACCCAGGATCATAATTTCTCAATTTCAAGGAGGCCTGAATTTTAATACCACATTTAGTGAAGAGGCCGGGCTGATCATCCATCATTAGCTGGGTTACCCTGTAGGCAGTTGAAGCGTAGGCTTGGTAAAGCAGAGTTTGCAAATAGAGGAAAACACTCCTTTGTGCATTCATACAAATTTTCATCTTCAAAATGTAGACATAAATGACTTGAAACCTGGCATGTGGAAAATGTCATTTTCAGTTTATATGGAAGAGGGTAGGCTTCCGTCTCAACTTCTTAGGGTCTCCCGAAGACTTAATCAAGCCGTGCCAGTAGGCGTTCAGGTACGTAGCGCACAGCGGGAAGTTCCACGTAGGTTTTTGGAAGTCTGTGTCAAAAGGTAGGGCATGAAGCCAGGAGCAGTGGATCGTTCCTGTAATCCCCGCCTAAGAAGCCTGCTGTGACATCATTTATTGCCTGTTAGAATCCTTTTTTAGGGGTGATGAACTTCTATATTTCCTACATTGCATGTGCTTCTGGGGATTTCTAAATATCTCTCTGATGGTAAGGGTTTAACTAAAGTTCCACAAACTTTAAACTAAAATTAAAAAATGTGTTTTTATGCCCAAGTGATAATTGTGTTTGTACTGGTTTGGGTTTTTTTTTTTCTTCTTTTCTTTTCTTTTCTTTTTTGGTTTTTCAAGACAGGGTTTCTCTGTGTAGTTTTGCGTCTTTCCTGGAACTCACTTTGTAGACCAGGCTGGCCTCGAACTCACAGAGATCTGCCTGGCTCTGCCTCCCGAGTGCTGGGATTAAAGGCATGCGCCACCACGGCCTAGCTTTGGGGTTGGTTTTATAATTGTTTTTAAGACATGCTTTTATTTTTCATTATGTGTAGTGCTCTCTCTCTCTCTCTCTCTTTCTCTCTCTCTCTCACACACACACTGTCTTTGTGTGTATGTATATGAGTACAAGTGCCTGTGGAGCCCAGAAGACCAGGTTGGACCCCCTGAAGCTGAAGTTGGGTGAAGTGAGAACCGCCTACCAAACTCAGGCCCTCCTGAAGAGCAGTAATGCTCTTAAATGATGAGCTATCCAGGGAAGAGTTCAGAAGACAGGGCAGGAAGATAATAAGAGACAGAGAGGGGACCAGGGAGTTTCCTGTGAGACCGAACCTCTCAAACAGGAGCTGAATGAGGACAATGTCAGACATGCAAAGTGGACAAGAGAAAGACTATGAGGCCTCAACCCTACAGAAAGCAGTAGGTAAACTGAGGAACGCTGTCTTAGTTAGGGTTACTATTGCTGTGAGGAAACATCATGGCCAAAAGCAACCTGGGGAGGAAAGGGTTTATTCGGTTCACACTCCCACATCACTGTTCATCACAGAAGAAAATCAGGCCAGGAACTCAAACAGAACAGGAACCTGGAGGCAGGAGCTGACACAGAGGCTATGGAGGGCTGCTGCTTACTGGTTTATTCCCATTCCCCATGGCTTTGCTCAGCCTGCTTTCTCTTCCTTCTTTCTTTTTCTTTTCTTTTCTTTTTTTTTTTCTTTTAGTTTTTTTCGAGACAGGGTTTCTCTGTGTAGCTTTGTGCCTTTCCTGGAACTCGCTTTGGAGACCAGGCTGACCTCCAACTCACAGAGATCCGCCTGGCTCTGCCTCCCGAGTGCTGGGATTAAAGGTGTGCGCCACCACCGCCCGGCTTCTTTTTTTCTTTTGTTTTGTTTGTTTTTTGTTTTGGTTTGGTTTTCAAGACAGAGTTTCTCTGTGTTACAGCCCTGGCTGTCCTGGAACTCACTTTGTAGACCAGGCTGGCCTCGAACTCACAGAGATCTACCTGCCTCTGCCTCTCGAGTCCTGGGATTAAAGGCGTGTGTCACCACTGCCTGGCTTCAACCTGCTTTCTTATAGAGCCTAGAACCACCAGCCCAGGGATGGCACCACCCACCATGGGCTAGGCCCTCGCCCATCAATCACTAAGAAACTCCCTCCCCTACAGTCAGATCTTGTGGAGGCATTTTCTCAATTCGAAGTTTCCTCCTTTCAGATGACTCTTGCTTGTTTTGAGCTCACATAAAACCAGCCAGCACATGAGCTATCCTTCTAGCACCCTTGCTTGTTTTAATGTGTGCTGTACTAGTTTGTGTGGGTGTACGCAGGCATGCATGTATGTAGATGCTTACATGTGTTCAGGCATCTTTCTGTCTTCACACTCCACCTTTATTTTTTTTGAGACAGGGTCTCTCACTGAATCTCAAGCACATCTAATTAGCGAGACTGCCTTGACCTGCCCTGTTACATGAATAGGCTGCCAGCCCTGGCTTTTTAGACGGGTCCTGGGAGTCTGAACTCAGATCCCTGCTGCTCAAGATTG